ATATGCATTTGTACCATCATTTATTATGTATTTAGTCACTGGCTGGAATAAAGGTTATTCAGTTATCTATTAACAATTACAAGTGATATTATCTTAAATATATATATTTTTTGAGACAGGGTCTCACTTTGTCACCCAAGCTAGATGGCGTGCAATGGTGCAATCACATCTCACTGCAGCCTCAACCTCCCCAGGCTCAGGTGATCCTCCCACCTCAGCCTCCCGAGTAGCTGGGACTCTAGGTGCATGCCATCACACGCCACTAATTTTTGTATTTTCTGTAGACACGAACTTTCACCATGTTGCCCAGACTGGTCTCGAACTCCTAGCCTCAAGTTATCCATCCACCTCCCAAAAGTGCTGGGATTGCAGGTGTGAGCCACTGAACCCAGCCACCAAATCTTCTTTTTAGAACACTCTATTATCTTCTTTCTGCTTTGATGTTAACATTACTTAGTCACATACCTGCTATGAGTAAACAAGCACTACAATTGTTAGTGACACCAGTGGAAAGGGATTAACAGTTCTCTTAAGCATTGTAATACCCCTTCATTGACGTCACCAAAAGTGATGGTGATCTCTTAACTGGCATCATTGAGAGTGAACATTAAAAAAATAGTATTGATGTGCTGAGTTTATACACCAAACACTTTAAAATAGAAATTATGAGCTAGAGTAACTTTACATAACACTAAAAATAGAACAAGAACAATTGCTGAAAGAATAACGAACCGAAAGGAAAAAAAAAACCATGCATTGAAATACATGGTCTAGAAAGAGCCTATAATAGTTTTTCTTTTACTCCAATTCCAGGTTATATTTAAACAATTGATATCAATAAAAAGAAACTATGGCTGACAATTCATGATTACCGATCCTCAAAAAGGAAGTGGAGGGAGTTTGGTGCCATAAAATACAATAAGAAATTAGTTTCAATTGTTTTATTTTTATAGAATCAATGTTTATAACATTTGCTAGACTGAAAATAATCTGTGGTCCTCTCCATTCTGTACTGACTTGACTTATAGCATAGTGATTAAGGCAACAGGTTTGGCATCACATTAGTGTTCTTCAATTCCCTTGGAAAGTTAATGTTTATTGAGGATCCTCTAGGTCTTCTAAGCAACAGAGGAATAGCAACAAACAGAAGAGACAACGTTGTCTCTGTTTCTGTGGTGCTTAGAAGATCTAGGGATAGATAGTTTAAAAGAAACTAAACATATAGTTTAAGCTAAACAAAAAAGTAGACAAGATAACAATTGATAGGTAAATGCTCTGGAAAGAGGGAGGGGCAATATAGTGATTTTGGTGGAGTTGAAGTCAGTTGCTATTTTAAATGGGAATCAGGAAAAGCTTCTTTGAAAAAATAGCATTGAAAAAAAAAATCTGAATGAAGAAAGGAAGACAGAATGCAAATATCTAGGTATTTCAACTTCCTGAAGTTTCCCCATAAGGCAGGAGGCTGCTTTGATGATGCAATATGTAAGTGAATGAAAAGCACTTAGCACTGGCCTAATATGTGAAGCCACCTCTCTGGATGGCTATCCTTAGACATCAAAGTGTAAAGCAGGTTAGCTTTTGATCTTGTTAACAGAAAAGTCAGTTACCAGGTTACTTTATATGTGCTAGATTGAATTTACTGTTTATTTCTCCATGTCATTTCAAAATTGGATCCATGTCTGAGAATTGTGGTTCTGTAGAGATGGTTATTGTCACTATCTATCTACCTCTAAATTAGCTGGGCAAATAACACAATAATGCTTAGATGGTCAAATCCACATTTAATGTAGCTGAAGATTTAATCCAGCATTAACATAATACTCTGCATTTTAAAATTAGCAATTTAACCAGAAGTCCCCAGAGACTGTGGCCTTGTCTCATCAATGCCACTAGTTTGGCTGCACAGTTAATTCCATCAGAGCCATTGGACCAAGCTTTAGTGTGTGTGAAGAGAGTCCATGAGTCAATTGCCAGCACAGAATTCTTCCTGTCATAGGAAGGCAGATGATCTCAACTTTTGAGCGCATACAGTGCAGATTTCTAGTTGAATGGTTCTTGACAATAGTGTCCTCTGAAACATAATGCCTGGCCAGGAGCCAATGATTATGCCACCATACAAATCACTGTGCATCTGACGCCAGAACGCCTCTTTGCAATGGTATCAACAAGAGTTTTCAGTCCTGGTGTTCCACAAGATGTTGCATTGGCTGTTTTATTCTCTCTCAGACCCTGGAATTAAAGATTTTATTTAGACAATTTTCAGGAAGTAAGTGGTGTTAGAGGGAGAGAAAAATATAAGTGAGGAGGTTTTTGTGTAGTTTAAGAAGCAGTTTTGCTATTTTACATTTCCCAGTAGGAGAAAATCAGCTAATATTTTGAAACCTAGTTTTATTAATTGCTTAATAGATATTTTCACTTTAAATTTCTTGTATAATTATAGAACTAAAACAGCTTGGTTCAAACTGTTAGCTAATGATCCATATATCATTTTAGTAATTGCTAGCTTCTTTGAGAAAATGCATTAATTTTGTAAGAGTGTAAGGACTTTCAAATGTAAAAACATAGAGAGATTTTAAGATTAATAAATTAGAACATAAAATTTGTTTCAAATGTTATTTTACTGTAATATATCATAAACCTAAAATTAGTAGAACATTCTTAAGATATTATAATCTTTCATTTTAATTTGTATATAAGTATTTTAAGGATTGAAAGTGAATAGATCATACTATACAGCTGCAATTGGTTACATAAAATAAAATATGTTATACAAAGTATCCTATTCAATAGTAATTATACACCATTATTATATTTAGCCAAATTTCATCTTCAACTGTGATATTTCACCCTGATTTTGCATACCAGCTTTTTCTAGAAATAACTATTCATAGGATTTTCACATTAAACAAATATACCTAAGCATCTTTTTGATAGGAATAGTTGTGGCTCAAGATGAAGAAACACATAGAATCCTAAATATTATTCATGACAAGCATTAAACAGCAAAACTAAAAGAAATATTTTTTCTAGGGAAGCCAAACTTGCCAGTATTTTTTTTTGTTGGTTTTCATTTAGTAAAATATGTTCTTTTCTTACAAACTGGGTATAAGCATTAGCCAATTATAAAAACTGTAAGAATCTCTTTTAAATATGGGTAGCAATTCATAAAAGAAGAAGATAATTTAAAATGTTTCTTATGGTTTGAAAATGCCTTCCAAATATTCATTAAACATTTAAGTGAGTAAATTTGTAGAATATGTTTCTGACATTGGCACTGGTTCTGTGGTATTTCTTTGATCAGATGGAAGTGCTATGTGTTATGCAGAGTGCATGCAGTTCATTCATGCATAAACAATATCATTTTCATAAATTAAATCCTCCCCTGCAGAAGGAACATCTGTGCCTGCCTTTGAATAAAAGATGGTGGCATGTGAGTTACTCCTTGACTGACTGAAAGAATCCCTATGTTTTAGAATGAAGTTGTATTGGCAAAATGGAAAAAAAAAAATCGAACCTTTTAGTCTTCATTTCTACCTTAGAAAAGAATGCCGTCTAGATTTCCCTGTTTGCTATTTTGAAAGCTGAAATTCTGGAAATGTCATTATTTTATTTCTTCTCTTCACTACAGCAACAGATTTTAGTTTGCATGAAGATGTCTAATTTTAATTGCAGGTGAAATTGAGCTACTTAATAGATTAGATCAGGTCTGAATGCTCACTTCATGATCTCCTATGCTGATAGTATTCATGTATCATATCAGTATTATGTCTCTTAAAGTAAGAACAGCGAGAACAATTCAGGATATAGAAAGCAACAGCTTGATTCCAAAATAACAACTCTGATTCACTTGGAATGAGATTGCTGCATTTTAGATAAAGTTGGGACGAACTTAAAAGTATTTCTGTCATGTGATGAAGGCTGATAGAAAACATGTTAAAATGATATATTTTAAATTGCTCTCAAGCATTTTTTTAACATTGAAATATACCTTACTGCTACTGTCACAGCTTGACGCAGGCTCATTGGCAATGTTATTAGTATGGCTAATTGTTCCTGTCCATTACATTACTCACATTTTTCTGGAGCAGCTTGCTAAATGAGGTCAGCTTTCTGGAAACCCTAAATCACCAATGAGAAGGAGATTAAAGGAACAAGCTTGGGAAGGGGGGTAGTCATCCAATGTGGCACCCGAATCAGAGTAGAAACAATGGAGTTACTAATGACAGTAATCAGAGCACCACAGTAGAGCCAGGGCACAAGTGCCAACATGATATTCCCTAGGAATCATGACTGTCAGTCAATACATCCAGAGGAAAAGGAATGCCAAACTCTTTTTTTTTTTTGAAGTGGACTTAACAATAGACAGAATCATCGTAAGTTTTTCCAGTGAGTTGTATTCATGAAACAACAGAATAGTGCCCCAAAGAATGGGGGGGAGGGATAATTACACCTTCCTAAAATACAGTACAAATAGCGTGCTCTTCAGTACAAATAATCCATTACGCTTTTTCATGGGAAAATGATAGAAATCATCAAAAGATGTTTGTAGAATAATTATAAAATGTCACTTCTCTTGAATTCTTTAAATTAATTAACCCATTTCCCTTTGGTACTTTCTAAAGTTATATAAATTTCTCTGGGACTATACTGGTTTGCAAGATAAACCTGTTCAGAAAAATGTACAAATAACAGAACACCAAGAAAATGGTAATGTTTTTATATGTCTTAAATATGTAGACAAACTAAGCTAGGATACTTGTTTATGTCTTGTCAATAATTAACAAAATCGACCTTTTTTTAAAAAAGAAATAGAATAAATTTTTAAAAATATGAATAAAAAACCTAAAGGCTAAGCCACTTAAAACAAAGAAAAAACACACTATTTGTACCACGTCCAATCTCATATTCTAAATAATGAAATATTAGTTAGGTCTTTTCATTATCTACAAAGAGCTGGTGACTCCCTATGCAAGATAGACAGAAAGACCATATGCCAAGGTAACCTTTTTTTTGGGGTTTATTCTACATACAGTGTTTAGTATTTTTTAACTCAGCAAAAAAGCAACTATTTTCCCCGAAAATAAAAACAAAATCCCTTTAAGAAGAAATGCAACAATTACTCTCACTTTCAATACTACTTTATTGCAACTGGATGAATGTTTTCTAAATTGTGCATTACACCATAATATACAGGATTACAAACAAAATTACAGTACAGATCGATTCCAGTGGTACCAGCATCACATCTCAAACAGCACTTATTCTGGACTGCATTTTACATGCAATAGCTATTGTTCTAATTATGAATTAAATTGTTTGAATGTATTTAAGCTACTGTACTAATTGACTACAATAGATATAAATCCCAACATTAACCATCTGATTAGGTTTAGGCTCAGATTTATTACATGAATATATGACAAACCACCATTTTTGTGACTATGTATAAAATCATGCATTTATAGTTTCTGGAAACACCAATAGCTTCAGATTCTCTGTAAAATCATGGAATGCAAAGGAGTAAAAGACTAAAAAGTAACAGTGCAAATTGTATGTGATAGTCAAGCAGCTTTCGATTTAAAGAAGGGTATGTTGGCATTTATAATATGTACATACAAGCTTGTGCAAGTAATGTGTTGAACTGATATGTTTTGATAGGGAATGCATCTCTTAATTTTTTATTCTCTTGAAAGTTATGATTCTGGTTTTTATTTTAGAGCGAGGGAACGATTTTAAAGTGAAATGAATTGCTCAAATTGTGCAATTTGTTTTTACAATTAGAGAGGAAAGAAGTGCTAAGGCAACACGATAACTTTCTAAGCACTTTTCTGCTGGTTTAAATTAGTTAAATTATTTTGTATAAATTAGATATAATTCTACTTTTCTGATATGTATAAAAATTGATGAAGCTGCATGGTTTTAAAATAGGAAATCCACATTATAAAAAGTCATTAAAAATTCTGTACAAAATCACAACAAAATAATTCAGCATGGGAAAGGTAACAAGTAGTAAAATGCTGGTTGAAAAATATATATTTATATATATTTTAATTGGCCCATTACTAGTTTAAAAATTGCATAGATCCTAATTATTGCTTGTGATTTTGTTATCCCGATCAGATAATTAATACGATCTGAATACAGCTACACCAAATTCGTGGTGCATTTTTTTAACTTTACTGTATTACTTTTTTATAATAGAAGAGCTATAGAAAATAATACATAAGGTGAACAGGAACTTTGATCCCCTGTTTCTTCCAAAGGCAGTAATGACAATAAATACATATATCACTTGAAGCTTGGAGTATTTGCACTTTGCAGCAGTAGTACCCAAAGGGCTGCCTTTTGTAAACACGACAGTCACTGTAAGCACAGTGGGTTCGTTTCCCGGAAATGGTGACACTGGCGTGCCTCTAATCGTGAAAGATGGCATTGAGCTGGGCACTCATGACTCGCTCATGATGTGAATGGCTATCGAAGGACATAATATTGTCTATGGGGATCTCGCAGCGAGGGGCAGCGGTGCCCGAGAAGATTGATCCGTGGCTTTGGGCCCCTGCCAGGGTCGCTGCAGGATAGTGCATGGTAAAGGCATAATTTTTCTCAAACTCCGCGGACGGTTCGTGTTTGAAAGAGAAGTTGCCATTGATGCTAAGCGGCGGGCTGAGGGGTCCGTCAAAGGAAGGGCTGGTGCAATCAGTCAGAGGGCTTTCAAAGAAGGGCTCCAGCGCTGCGCTGTAGGCGTGCGGCGGCGGCTTGACGTGGAAGACATGGGAGCTGTCCATGGTACCGTAGGGCGGACTGGGCAGCCCAGGAGACTGGTAGGAGTAGGGGTGTACAGGGAAGGAAGCGCTGGCCGTCGGCAGGTGCGGGGGCATGTCCTGGTTCTGCTCGGGCAGAAAAGTCCGAGGATTGAGTTGCAGGCAGCCCGCAACCAGGTTGGTGGTGGGTTGGGATAAGCCCTTGCAAAGCGTCTGAACGAAGGAGACCAGGTCTGGGCTTTTGCCTGAGCGCAGGATCTCTGACAGAGCCCAGATGTAGTTCTTGGCCAAGCGCAGAGTCTCAATTTTGGACAGCTTCTGCGTCTTAGAATAGCAAGGTACCACCTTTCGCAGGTTGTCTAGCGCCGCGTTCAGCCCGTGCATGCGGTTCCGCTCCCGGGCGTTAGCCTTCATGCGTCTCAGTTTAAAACGCTCCAGGCGAGCCTTGGTCATCTTCTTCTTTTTGGGGCCGCGTCTCTTGGGCTTTTGATCGTCATCCTCCTCTTCCTCTTCTTCCTCCTCTTCCAGGTCCTCGTCTTCGTCCTCCTCCTCTCCCCCATTCCTCAGTGAGTCCTCCTCTGCGTTCATGGCTTCAAGGTCGTCCTCCTTCTTGTCTGCCTCGTGCTCCTCGTCTTGAGAACTGAGACACTCGTCTGTCCAGCTTGGAGGACCTTGGGGCTGAGGCTCACCCATCAGCCCACTCTCGCTGTACGATTTGGTCATGTTTCTGTTTCCTGCATTCAACAGGAGAGAGGCAAACAGAAAGAAAAGAAGAAAAACGCTATATTCAAAAGCCAGATACGCCTTCAGCTTCCACCCACTGAACCTCTACAAATGCATGTGAAAAATACCTGCTCATTACAAAGTGAATGCCTCTGAGAAAAAGTTAAATGCAGTGTTTTATAATGGCGCCTGCGTGTGCCCCGCTGGTACGTAGGAGTGAGGACAGGACTGGGGGAGGGCAGTGAATATGTATATGTGTACACCACTCACGCATATGTGTATGTATCCTAGTGATTAACTTAAATGTGTTTATGGTGGTTGCCCAACCGGATAATGTGTGTGGAAATGACTGTATATTTCAGCGACTTCATGTTTATACGAATGTGTTCAAAGTTGCTCGCAACTCCACCAAAAAGTGAGTTGAAAAAATCACACATTCTGCTTCCATTTCTATCCTGGCTTCTAGGTACTTAGCGATTTAAGTTGAAGAGCCATTGCGTAATTTACTAACACTGGCAGCGATTTTTAAGAAGATTATACTTACGGGTACTGAAGAGCAAATGCAGAAAGGAGGAAAAATAGTTTCCACCAAATTGTTTCACCATCAGTGTAACATTTGGCAACAAAAGTAGACAGGATCTTCCACCCCACCTTCGCCATTCTTTTCTTGCCTTCCATCTCTGGCCTGCCGCTAAATTTCCACCTTGTACAAAAGCTCTCCGTACAGGGCCAGGGCTGGGGGCACAGCACAGAGCGCTCTCCCACGCGCCGGGGATCAGGTGCGGAAGGCTCCTCTCTAATAAACAGCCCATTGAAAGGGCCGCCCGTTCTTTATTGGGGCTTTTCAAAGTTCGCCTCAAACCTCCCTTTAAAAGATTTAGTAATTATAATGGTCAGCGATTGGCAACGCGAAGTTGCCGCTTCTGATAAGGAAAATAAAAAGGCTTTAGTAAAACAACTGAATTTCTGGCTCCAGTAGTGGCTGCTGGGGACTTGGCCGCCTCTGGAGCGGTAACAGGTAGCAGAAGTGAGTCCCTCTCCCTTTCTCCACTTTCCCCCACTCTCAACTAAACTATCTCTGAATCTGATTTATTTTCCATAGTGTGAATACTCAAGGTATCCATGTCCCTTTCATTCACTGAAAACACAGATTGACACTCCCAATGTGCATAAAATACATGCACACTATATAGAAAGATAACAGCTTTTTTTCTTACTGTAAGAAGTGAGAAAGTGAAGTCATTATTGCTTTTGAGACTTTAAAATCAGCACTAGCAGCTAATCATGGTTACCGTGTATTCTTTTATTTAAAAAATCCAAGAAGCTCCTATGCTATTCACAAAAGAAACCCAAATTTTTAAATTTTAAATTAGAAAGCCTGCAGGGGGTACTTGAGTGACATTACTCATTTGTGTGAGTAGTTATGGGCAATTATGGAGAGAGATGCTGGTCTCACATATACACACGCTTGCAAACGCACACTTACAGAATATGTAGGTGCATCAGTCTTCAGTTACTGCTTCTATTCTAGAGCAAAAAAATGAAAGAATTGTAATTACCTTTGTTGTTAGTAGGTCCTGAGCGGTGATAGTCTCATAACCCTGGGGCCTCCGGACGCCGTGCCTTCTGCGTGGGCGAATTCCTCGTGTCTTGGCCGCGCGGGCGCTCAGGTTATATAGCCCAGTTAGTGATGCTAAGCGCGGGCGGGGCCGCGAGCTGAGCGGCTAGCAGGTCTCTGCGCCTCGCGCCTGCGCACGCGTCCAGGCTGTGCACTCCTGGTTCTCCCCTCCTCCCTACTTCTCCCCACGCCTTGCTCTCCTCCCGCCCTGCTCCGACAACCGCTCCCCTCACCCTCCACCCCTACCCCCGCCCCTTCTCCTTCCTCCCCGGCATGCGCCATATGGTCTTCCCAGTCCAGCCAAGAGCCTAGAACCACGTGACCTGCCTATTTGTATGCCGCGGAGCGCTCCATTCCGGCCCCTTTGTGGCCAGAAGAAAGTGGCCCATCTGTCGCCAGTTAGAGACTCCGAGGACCTGTTTTTACCCGCAGGAGAGATTAACCCTTTCGGGCGGCAGAAGGGACCCGGGATAGAGGGGGGAGGGGATTTGAAGGAAGGAAGGGAAAAGCTAATGTTGACTAGGTCTAGGTCAAAACGAGTGGCCTGCTTTCGCGCCGGAAGTAGGACAGAGGTGAAAGAGCCAGAAGCGGGGAGACTGAGGCACGCAGTGAAGAGCCCTCGCTCCTTTCGATTCCTTGCCTTGGCACTGGCAATCAGAGCAGTGTGACTCCCTGCCCTCTCTGAAAGGCCCATCCCTTGGCTTCTCCTTAGCAGACGCTTTGATCATTGGCGCCAAAGGGTGGCTTCTAATCTCCGTCGGCCCCTCTAAGCAAACATACACGCCATATAAAAGCCGCTTCATCTGTAAACGCAGCGTTGAGATTAGTTTCCCAACCTCCCTAACCGGACGTCCGCTCCCAGTTCCTTCCGCACAGAAAATGTGTACCTGCCATTCTATCCCCACCATACATGCAATCCTTCGTGTCCTGACCCTCACCTACCACTGTCCCTCGAGACCCTCTCACTATGTCAGTCCCCACCTCGATCCCCAGGATCTTGTCCTCAAAGCGAGCTAGTTCTCCAGAGGCCTTGGCTCCATTGGCCTTTGCACTCTCTGTGTGGGGGCTGGGGGCTTCTTTGACGCTTAGATTCTGCCCTCTAACCATGGCCACTGGGTTGCTGCAAAGGGCACCCTCACTCAGCTAGTCCAGGGACCCTTCTGGTTCCCTGGCCAGCCCTCTTTGCATGGCCTCGGCTCTCTAGTCCAGGCATTGACCACAAGTACGGTGATGGACACCTCACCACAGCCAGACCTGCTCTTGCTCCCTTCAATCTCAAGTCTGTATAACACACCTGATTCAGACAAACCTTTTCAAAGAGAAGATGGAATGGGTGTGTGTCGAGCCGGTCTTTCCGAGCTTTCTAGAAATGCCTTTAGCACAACCCCGGGAAAGATTAATGGCTGCAAACTCTTCCAGGGTTCAAAGCCTCCGATTTGAAGCTCCCACCTTGCAGGTCAAGCAAAGACCACAGAAATTCTCGATCAGTTCTGAAGGAGCCATTATATATTGTTGCCTAAATAGTCATTCTTTACTCTCTTCGAACAAGGATCTTCCAGAATAATACATTAAAAAAAAAAAAAAAAAGAAACTGGCCTGTCTGCTCATTCTTTCCCAGCGTTGCCTTTAATCCTTCATTAACTGACTCCTTACCCCCTCCCAGACCTGAAGCCCTCTGCAATAAATACCTCTTATGTGAATTATTTATTTAAAGGCAATTGCCCTAAACATCCCCCAAGTTTGCAAACAGTGTCAGCGTTGAGTGGCTGGAGTGGGGTGCATCTGGGAAAGGGTGGGGACGGAGGAGAGAGTGGAGGTGGAGGCAGTGGGTGCTAGCCAGATCGCCGGTGTCTGAAGGTGGCAGGTGCAGCCTTCCTTGCACAGTGTGAATCTAAAAAAGGAAGAAAGGAGTTGTGCCACCAAAGCGTGGCATGAATCGTTGTGAGGTTCCGGAGTTTTGCTTGCTTTCCTACGTTCGCTCGCTGACAAAGAGCATAGGAGAGGATAAAATAATTCACCCAGGAGCCTGGTCCCAGGATTTACCCCTGTACTGTCTGTATCTGCAGAGTTGGGCTGAAACTCGAGAGGCGTTGGAGTACTAGCCCTTAGAAGCTGGTTTACAGCCGGAGATCCGAGGACATTTGAGGCAGGGCCAAGCTAAGTGCTGCGCCTAGCCCTGCAGCTGTCCGGACTGGCAGTGTTACGGTGCTGCAGGCAAAAGGAACTTGTGCCTAGGCTCTCGTTTTTCCAACCTTGGGAAGCTCCAGAGGATATCTGGTGACAGAGTGGGAGAACGGACCCCAGCTAACCCCGAGGTCAGGGGTGGCCTAGAGGTTCCTCTGCTAAATCCTTGTCTGTCACCCTCAGAAAGTAGAAACATCTCCAGTTTGCGACATCTCGTACAATACAGGAGAATTATGGCGGAGTCAGATGTTCCTGGGCCAGAGGGACGCCCGAGTGTTTTGCCAGAAGGAGACTCAAATACATAAAGTGAGGGAATTACTAGTCTGTTTCCTCCCTCTCCCCTTGATAAATTCGTCTCTAATCCCACTGAGCGTTATTCGCTGAGGTCTGGGGATTTGTACAAAGGAAAGGCCACTCCAGGATGTTTCAGAGACTGGGCTGAGGTTGGGTCTCACGGTGGCTGTTAATGGGCTTCCCAGCCTGCAGCGATCGGATGCAACCCTCCTCCGAGCGGAGAATTTCCACCCCCGGTGCGGGCATCGCGACGCTCAGCCAGTGCCCGCGGGGCTCCTGGGAGATGAGGGGGTAGTTAGGCCCTAAAGGGAGGAGCCCAGACAAGGCCTGGATTGAGGTGCTTTTTGTCTGGGGTTGAAGGCGCGAGAAATTGGGGCGAGAGAACAGAGTCAGCCGGACGCCGAGAGCGGACGGAGCTGAAGGCGCGGCGGGGCTTAGCGCTGAGGACCTTCTCCGCGGCCTCGCCCCGCCTCCTTATTTTCTTCTCTTTGGACACGTTTGGACGGTTGCACACTTTCCCCCCTCCTGATTCCCTAAGTTTTTTCTCTCTCCCCTCGCTGCCCGTTAGCTGTACTCCCCCAGCTCCCGTCCCCACTGGGCGCTGCAGGCTACCCAGCGGCACGCGAACCGCACGCGCAGGCAACAAAAGCCGCTTTCATGACTCACTGCCCTCGAGCAATGCCCCAAATCTGCCGCCTCCCGGGTCCCCGCTCTGAGCGCGCGGCGCGGGCAGGGCGTCCCGGCCGTTACGGCGGCAGCCGGAGCGCCCGCGGGAAGGGGGGCGGGAGGAGGCGTGTGGCCGGGGGTGGGGAGAGGGGAGGGTGGCCTGGGCCAGGCGGAGGGGAAGGGGGAGGCGTGTGGAGGGATGGGGGTGGGGAAGGGATGGAAGCTAGTGGCCCGGACGTAGGGGGTGGGAAGCGTGTGGCTGGAGGCTAAAGCGGGAGGTGGGTGGTGGGGGCGAAGCATTCACAGGGCCAAGATAAAGAGCAGGGGCAGGGCCGGCGTCCGCGGCGGTGACCTGTTTCTCAGGGAAACAGATGCTGGGTCTTGCAAAAGGAGGTTTGCGTTCAATGAAAGGATCAAGTGTGGTCTGGGCAGCCCCGCCGACCTCGAGAGGTTCCCGCGTCCTCTCCCCGCCCTACCTAGGAGGGGGGTGTCCGCGCCTGGGCGCGTTCCAGGGGCGGGAGATGGGGGTGGGGGATGGGGTAACCGAGGGGCACAAGAGACCGTGGGGCGCAGGGGCCGCAGGAGTCGAGGGCTGAGAGCTGCAGGTCCTACAGACGCCCGGTAGCTCAGAGGCTCCAGAGAGCTTCGAGGGGTGGGGGGTGGGGGATGGGCGGTTGATGCGGGTTCGGACTAGACCGCCGACGCGGCGCCTCCGCCCCGAGGGAGGCAGTTGGGCTCCCGGGTCCTGGCCTGAGGCTGGAGCTGCCCAGGCTCGACAGGCAGGCGACAGGGGAGAGCCAAGCACAAGAGAGATGCTATTAAAATGCCTCGCCGTCGCCCCGAGCGCAAAACCCGTCCTCCCCAAATCTCCTGGGCTTGCGGGATAATCTTAATTAAGATAATTGATTCATATTGCACCTGCGAGAACGGAAAAAATTGATTTCAACCCCCAACCCTACAAATCGCTTAGAGCTATTGGATGGAGCACGACTCGACTGTGATTTGGGGAGTGATTTAGTGCCGGGCTTCCCCAGCTCCGCCTGCCTGGGCCTTTTTATTTATTATTTATGTTCTCCCGGTCCCGACAGAGCCTCGGTGGCTCCTTTCTCGGCTCCCACAGACCTTGGAAGGACTTGTCTCTGATTCCCCGTCAGGATTGAGGAGCTTTCCTTAAACCATCCAACACGCAGAACGAACAATGTAAAATCAACGCAGTAGGACCATCTTGGCAGGTGTGGGTCACCGGCACAAGGCCTCCTGCGTCCGATGCGCTATGTGTGCAAAAGAGTGTTAGTGTGTGATTGCACTTGAATGTATGTGTGTGAATCCGTGTACGCCTGAGTGTGCAGGATTATGTGAATTGTGTGCAAATCGTATGTGCATATGAGTGTGTGGTTGGTAGTGTGTATGTGAACATGACTGTGTGAAGGTATGTGTCAATAAATGTGAATGTGTATGTAAGTGTGTGTACAAGTGGGTGGGGTGAGACTGTCCGTGAATGTATGTCCACGGGCGCACCTGCTCTCGGGTGAGGAGCATAAGCAGAGGGCGCACACCTGTTTCCCAGGGATCGAGAAACAGCTTGTGGTTCAAAAGGGATCACAGGGCCAGGGAACTGACAAGCACACGCTATTTGCCAACCTTTGCCTTAACAGAAAGAAGCAAGTAAACAAAAATCCTCGGTAGCTGTGTGTAGCTTCGGGAGTGGAGAGCCGTGACACACCGACGGCGCCGGAGCTTCCCAAGAACAATGGCTGCTGCAGTGGGTTGGGAGAGGAGACCGGGGCAAGTTCCTAAAGGCACGGGAGGAACGAGGGCAAACCAGGTTTTCAGCCCCAGGCAACTTGTAGAAGGAATGACTTCCTTAACTTATCAGCACCGTGGACAATTCCCACTCCACAGGCCCTGACGTTCGCCTACTAGATTGAGCAGAAACTCTCTTCCCTTCTTCTTTCCTCCTTTCCTCCCTCTCTTCCTCCTTTCCTCCCTCCCCTACTTCCTCCTTTTCTCCCTCTCCTTCTTTTACCTTTCCTTCCTTTTCTCCCTCCCATTCTTCCTCCTTTCCTTCCTTTTCTCCCTCCCCTTCTTCCGTCTTACCTTCCCTTCCTCCTTCCATTCTTCCCTGTTGGCTTTGTTTTAAAAGCAAAAACAAAAACAAAAAAAGCCATTGGCCACCATGTCTGAACCAAAGAGTCCTGTAAATCTACATCTAATTAGCCGCATATTCACAGTAAAATTC